ATAGAGGAACCATAGTTGTGGCGCTTATATTGGAACTATCTATATAGGGGAAAACAATGGTTGTCTCACGCTCCTTGTATGGCTCAAATGTTTGTTAGCCGTCCAACGCTTGTCTGGTGTGGCCAAATTCTTGTTTGATCAAATCTCCCAAGCCTTAAATAAAAAGGAGAATTGCTAAGAAACTTCATGCGATGTTGCTTTGATTGAGGCCTCATGCTTTGAGTCATATCCACAATTCTCTTGCCCCCTAAGTGGAGGCAATTTTTCCTTCAGGTTGGGGATGTCTTGATTGCTTTCTTCCACAACTTTCTGCATTAGGGGCCCCTTCAGATGAGGTAATTTTGGCCTTACCTCGAGTGTTTTACACGTTGTCACTCTAATGGTCCTACCGGGCGTGCTAAAAAATATGTTTGACCTATTTTCGAATTACGGGCCTATCAAAGTCAAGGTGGACTTAAGATCCAAATACATACAACCTTACCTACTCGAACCGACGTGAAGTTTTAAAATTGTGACTGTTCAGGAGAATGTAATAAGGTGTAAGGTTACCTCTTGGTTCTTTTCTATGCCTTAGAGCTTCGAAGACATTAAATAATTTCTCCAAATAGAAATGTATAAACGATACTACAAAGTAAATAGTGGGAATGCAAAGTAATAAGTAAATTAAATTTGAATCTGGAAGACAAAACGAATATTAGACTTAACATTAAATAAAAGCAGTAAAAGATCACCGGAGTGATGTATTACAAGAAAAGTAAAGTTGCTCAGATGCACGAAACAAGTAAAGAGATAGGCTGGCTTTGTGAAGAGTTTTTGTGATTGACCTTGGATCCTTTTTCAGTGGCTTGACCTTTGTTATTTAAAGAGATGGTTCTCAACCATCGATTTATCTTTTCCAGCCATTATTTGTGATCATGGCCTTATCTCTCAAGATATGTAAATGTGTGCTAAACTGTTTTGAACTAGCGACTCATGATATCATGTTTTCTTGGTTTTTTTTGGGATTCCAAGAGTCTTATTCCTCTAATCATCATGTCAATTGTGGATTCTCACAGACTCCCTTGTGACTATCAGATCTCTTCCATGTATCACCATCTGATCTTACCTTTTTTTGGGTGTAAGCACTATTGTAACCAAGGTTGTGTAGGGGCTCACTTTACTCACAAAATTATGATACCCCTTGGGGTCCAACCCAAGATGCCATCTAGGAGTATATTAACTCACCAACTTTTTGATTTCTTTCAAATATGAGACAAGACTTATTACACTACACCATATCATTTTTAGTTTCATCCATCCATTCAAGTGGTTCAATTTAAGACATAATTTTCTCATTTAATATTTAATGATTTTGAACAAATAAATATACCACGTTAACCTAATCTCGAAAGAGAACACGTTTAAAAACAATCCCACCAATTTTGATATGTGGGTCCCATGTTTAATTAAGCCCAAAGTGGCTCTAAATATTTTTTTATTTTTATTTTTATCAAAGCTCTAAATAATTGTTCAAAAATCAATTTTTTTCTAACAAAACTTGCCATATTTGAAGATGAAATTATAACTATTTAAGGCTAAGTTACAATCTGGAGATGTAATATTACCAACGTTAGAGCTTAGGTTACAACCTGTTGAAGTAAGATTATAACCATTTATGATAACATTATTACTTTTGAATGTGATATTAAAACCATATAAGGAAAAGTTATAAGCAACAGTTTCATCAAAAAACAAAGTTGCAGGTAAAGTTACTTTAAAAAAACATTTACCACCGTTAAAAGTAAAATTATAATCTCTAAAGGAACAGTACACCATCAATTATTATTTTCAAGTGCAAAAATACCAAAAAAAAAAAAAATACGTGTTCAATTGAAAACCACACATATTAAATACCGACATCTGAATAGTCGGTACCAAAACTTGCCCATCCAGAAAATGGTGAAAAGGTACCAGTTATCTGTCATGTGTCATGACTACTCACTGCACAATTGCCTGTTTTTTACATTTATGTATAGCTTGTTCACCCGCTGAATCAATTATTTCTTTCCAAGCTGTTTTTGCCAATAGTTTCTGACAATTGTGTTCCCACTAAACTAAACGTTTTCTTTTATTCCTTCCACCAAAGGCTTCTTTTCTTTGATATCAAAATAACACAAACATATATAGCTGTGTCTCTGTGGCGAAGTGGTTCTCCATATGCACTGTCTCAATGGCTTTTAGATCTTAGAGTGGGAAAATTTACTAACTTTGGATTATATAAAAATGAAACCCTCTCGATTCACTCGTTCCACAAAATTGTTAATGACAAAAAAGGACACAATGATAGAGATAGTGATTAGATATATTTGGAAAGTTTTGTGTGATGGATGTAATCTGTACAAGTATAAATAATGAGTATGAGTGATATTTAGGATGAGATTTACAAAAAAAAAGGCCAATAGATAAGAATTGATGATTTATCTCCTATTCATCTAATGCATTTACACGCCTTATAAATAAGGTTGATCTCTATTTATGTAATCCCCGATTAATTATATATCATTGTACGTAGAATGTTTGGTCTATAAATGTAGGAAATATTGTACTAAATCACAAATTAATAATATATTGATATTCCCGTAAAACGTTTAACATGTTAACATAGATAATATTATACTAAACCACATTTTTTTGGGTATTCTTATTTTTATTGTGGGATATTGATCGATCTATCACTATATATGTGACACAAAACTTTAAAAAGAAGGGAAAAATACTTGGAGAAAAATTGGTCTGTCGTTGTCAGTTTGCAAATGATATACATATAATATTAAATAAAATATATTTTTATAAATTAATGTAACGGTCTCAAATAGACTTATTTAATAACCACTAATATTTTTTTTAAAATTATTCACGTTAAATCTCTCATTCTAAATTCATCAATTTTTATTTATGTTATATTGTCTCTTTAACCATTAGTTAAGTTGACTGAACAAGTGAAAAAAAGGTTTATGATGTCGATGCACAGCAATTAGTTAATGTGGCAGGCAATGCTCCAGATCGAAGTGACAGGAGAGATGTTGTGAGTTTTTATAGAGGGGAGGAACTTACTATTCTTCCGAGATGATTGTGCCAGCACCCCTTTCAAAATTGATGTGATTATTCTCAAAGCTAATGAGAAAAAGCCAAGCATTTTGTGTTATTAGCATCTTAAAGAAAACAATTTGCTAGATAGACAAACTTGTAACTTTGTTCATTTAAACAACTTTTATGTTCTTGACAAAGGTGTTTCAAGTCAACAAATTGGATTCGTTTTCTACCCTAAATTTGTCAATAGGATTCACTGATCTAATGGATCAGATTTGATAAATAAATTTGATAAAGTTTTTGGTAAACACACCTTTTCTCTTCTTGACTCTTCATTGCATATTTTTTGTTAATGTTTACAATGGTAAATCATTCACATAAACATGAGTAAGGCCCATTATATAAATGTCCCTCCAAGGGTAAACTATCACTGATAACGACTAGGACTTGATAATTGATCCAACCCACTGCATACCTGTGGCTGAAATTTGTCTATCACTTTATCCTAACCCAATTTGTGTTTGGATCAAAGATTGTATGTTGTGTGACTCTATTATCTTAATATTAATACTATAGTTGGGTGAAAAATGAATGTATGGTGTTAAATTAAAATGACAAAAACAATCTATACGAAAGCTATTATAGTAATTTTGGATATTAAAAATAACTAAGTTTCATTTATACCACCTATTATACAATATTGATTACACTGAACATGTAGTATTAAACCTCATTACAATTGGACCCTATAGCTTGATTTAAATATGCTATTAATTTAGTCCAATTGCGTCCACTAATACGTAAATCGAACACAACCTTTAAAAAATATATATATCGTAATGGAGTATTTATAGATTATAGTATTAACTAATTGGATATTGGGTATATAAATATTATGATTAGGATATTTGATCAGATTAAAAGGATATAAAGAAGATAAGAATCCTCGACCTTGGATTTCACAGTAACAGCTTACTGCATATACCACGAGCCGAAAGGTTTCTTGACTGGCCATTTGTCTGTATTCTGTTGGTACTCATTTCACATGAAACAAAAAAAAAAAAATTACTTTTGCTGAAAACTGTCTTCAAGTTCTAAATACGATATGCTTTTGAAAAGGAATACGATATTAAGGGCTTTAAAGCATAAAAGAGATTTGAAAAGCAAATCTTTTTGACTTGTGAACAAAGCAAGGGTTTTGGGTCATACTTCATAACTTCATGTGATAGTGTTGTGTGTGAACTCAGTTATGTTATCTGATCAAAAAAAACTCAGTTATGTTGCGTGTGATTGGGGTGGTGTTTGGCTTCTGTTTTTTGGTGGGGGTGGGGGGTGCTTGTTGCTCCTGTCAAAGAATATTCTTTTGGGCTTAAAGATATTCGTCCACTATTTCATAACTTTAACCGATTTAGGTGTTTTGAAACAAATGAAGAGATATTAGATTTCTTAGTCGAGAGATGAGAGTTAAAAAAAAAACCGAATGTAGTGAGCAAAAATTGAATAACAGTATGAATAGCATTATTGCTATTTGTACTGTTAACTATATTAGTATTCAATTGAATGAAATTACCTATGAGATGGAGAGGCAAAGAACTTCAGAAATTTGATCTAGTAAGAACTTCGAAAAACTGGACTAATTTTAATCTCCTAGTGGTAATTTAAAATTCATAGGCATTGAAGAGGCTGTAATGCTATTTTTTTGTCCCTCTGCTATTTTGTTTTTCTAATTTTCTTCTTGATAGATCATTCACAATGTATTATTGAAGAATTCACTAATATATAATGAATATTATTTAAATTCACGATTGTTAATTTACCCACAAAATAAAAATGTATTACACTGAATCTTACTTCCTCATAACATTTACTCATATTGTTTGTTTGGAAATTCCCTGTCAAGCCATTCTCGTTTTGTAAAAGCCTTTGAGAGGCTTACCTGTTCCTAATTATTAAGCAGTTACATTTTTATTAGGAACCCCTCAATTATAAAACTTTTTCATACCTAAGGAGAGCAATATTATATAGACTTAATCACGGACTTAATTCAATCATAATTATTGAATAAGAAGTAATATTGCAGTACAACTCCCAAGGGTTGAAGCTCTCCTCAAACTTTTCTTAAGATCATAGTCCCATTAACAAAGATAAACATTGCACAAAACACACACAATGACCATCAAACACTAGGAGCAACGAAGCCCAGGGCACAATGGTCCTTATTTGAAGACACACAAGCACACTAAAAGGGATAATAACACTGCCATTAGTATCTATCCACAAGCCTGGACAGAAAGTCTAAACTCTCATTTCACACTAACACGGTTTCTTGCAGAAGCATCGGCGACGAAATCCCCGGCAGTCTCCCCCTGGAAATCCCTCCGTCTTGCAAACAGAAGCACAGTTGGTGTCACTCAAACATGTTCCCTTGAAGCGATGGCTTAGTGACTCGCACGTCCTGGCCTCGGCTACCATCAAACCTGTCTCTCCAGACACACCATGAAATCAAAGTAGAAATTAAGATACTTCTTGAATACAGACAGTAAAAAAACCAATGCCCAGTTTTCTAACATTTTTTAAGTAGTTTTGTTGACAGAGAAAACATAGTTTCGACAAAAATATAAATATATTTTTATTTATTAATTGAGACAAAATTAAAGTAGTGAATGTATGTACGAGTATAATATATGCGATTAATCTCGAAAAAATGAAAGTACAAAACAAATGCTGCTTTAGAGAAATACTTAAAATAAGTTAACATATAGTCGTCACATCATTGCCCTCAGGTGATTAGACTTCGTATTGTTCAAAAAAAAAAGGTGATTACACTTCACAAATTGGAATCATCCACAAGATTTACTACAGCCATGGTTTTTGGCCACTTAGTTGCCACATCTCTATGTAATATTAACAGAAAGAAACTAGATAATCGCAGTTATGTCCTATTGATTTGTTCTTTCCCAACTAGAGGGTTGGTCCAACAATTGTGCCATCATTTCACTTCATTTTTCCACGATTAATCTTGACAAATATATATTTGAATGATACCCAAAAGTTATATTTGTGTACTAGTATTATACCAAATGTATTACGACTGCATAAGCGATTTCAAAACTACCAAAGAAGCATAACCAGAAGTATAATTCATGTTATATGCATGCGGGTGCAGCTAATTAAGATGTTTACAAAGTAGGCAACTGAGAGGTTACCAGTGGCCATGACAAGCATCAGCAGCAGGAACATAGTTGGAAACAATCGCATGGAGCTGCCCATCTTGATCAGAGAGAGAGAGAGAGAGAGAGAGAGAGAGAGAGAGAGAGAGAAGGACAGAGTGCAGCAACTGACGAAGGGAAAATAGACAGAGGCTCCGAATGTAAGTAAGCCTTGCTTGGTATGTAGGTGTTTATATAGAGTTTGTTGAGTTTTTCACCAAACACCTCACTCTACAATATATTTTCTAAATCCATATAATTTTAATCTTTTTTCTTGAACTCGTGTACTTTTAAAAAATATCATTTCAAATGATATTTTGAAACTAAACATACTTAACATACAAATGGATCTTATTATCTGTTAATTAACCATAGAAAATGTTATTTTAACTAACCTTTTTTTATCAATTAAACTTACTTTTTTTTAAAAATGTACTAAAATATAAGTTTAAAACTGTTCAAAAGTAAGAATTTTAAGCACCCAGGTTTGTTAAAATCCCAAGGTTTGTTTGCAGTTGATATAGAGAGAAGAAAAAGTTCGGCAAGAAATGTCAGAAGCCATGACTACTCAATACGCACTAACATTTTGCCTTTTTGCCTATATTGTTTACATAGACAAACTTATATCGCATTCGTTTCATCTGTCCAACTTTCTTCCCATATGGTCTGACCACTGCAACCTACTGTATAACCTAATCTTTTCTGGTCCCATTTTTAGCAATGCCAGAATATCATCGCTCGAAAAAGACTATCCATACTTCAGGAATAAAAAAAGAGCAATGTTATAGGGATCTTATTTGAGGACCTAATGATGTGGATTCAATACAATAATTGAATTAATTGTGAGTTCCAATATTAAATGAAGCTCACAATTAATTCAATGGTTGTATATCATTAATGCATTAAATAAGGTTAAAATAACATTTTACATAAAAAAATTACTCCAAAAAGTATTAATTTCTATCTTAAAAAGTGATAAACTCTATCTAAAAAGTGGTAAGTGAATCTAAAAATTCAGTAACCCAAAAACTTAGTAAGTTTTACTCAAAAAATAAATAAATAGTACGATACTTTTTTTTTTTTTTGGGTGTCATAGTCAATCCCTTGTCAATGCCACTATGACGATTATATATACTGGTGGTGGTTGTGTATAAAACTACTACTTTATAAAAGAGTAAAAGAGGATGGGAGTGAGGGCAAAAAATACAATAGTGTAAGATCACATACTATAATTAAATAAAAATAATATAATCTTAAGAGTTATCCTAAGATAAATGTTGTTGTTACGAGAGGGAGAATCCAATATAGGTCGATATTCCTTCACAATTATACACATGGAGCTCAAGACACTATATATAGAGCACAAATAGTTGAAGTGTAATGAGTATTGTTAGATTAATTCCACAGACACTCCAAGCCTTTATTTATGAAATGAGTCGTCATACAAAGATAACCAATTAAAATAGATCGGCCTAATCATGAAGGTCAAGTTGTTATCTTCCTAGTCTCTTATTCTGATCTAAAGTAATATGATGATTAGGAGGAAAGGTTGCAAGGCGATCCCACTTAATCAAGTGATGGGTTCATGATCTTCTTATCATGTTTATCATAGAGGAAGGGTGAATTAGTTTTTTAATTTTAGCCCAAGAGAATGAAGAAGAAAAGAGACAGCCTTTTCAATTGGTCCAAATATATCATCACGGACCCAACAATTATTGAAGATCTTTTTCTTTCTCTCATTTCTCAACTCCTAGTGCTACTACTCTTCAATTCCATATTAACATTACTGGGTATTCTCATTCCAATTCCTATCATCACGTCGCAAGTTTTGAGTTTGAGGAGGATAAGGTCAATTCAATGAAGGTACAACAAGCCCGTAATTACCAATTAGAATCTAATCTACCACAATTACCTCTTCTCACAAAGATTTAGTTATTAACTTGAGAACCCCTTTAGTCACTATAACCATCTTCCACTATGATGATTGATTAAATTAAAATTCAATTAATTTGCTTGCAATCAATCTCGCGTCGATTCCAATCCCCAAACTCAATGAACAATTATGTATGGATAGATATTCAATCAATCATTCTAACAAACACATAGTACGCATGTGTGCAAACAATAACAAGTATATACAATAAAAAATAAATAACACGAGTAATTTGTTGACACAAAAACTCTCCTCAAGAAAAATCGCAGATAACATTCTTGGTTTACCAAAGCCTAATCAACTATTCGTTAAGTCAACACACATGTACTCGAGACTTATATCTCAACAAATACCATGGTTAGATGCTCATTTCTTTGTTGTCTCTTCACCAAAGAGCCTTTTTTGACGTCTAGTGTAGCTTCAGTTGGACCTCTCAACCACACGGTTCATGTATGTCTCGAGCGACTATGGGCAAGCCGATAATCCTCGGTATGCACACACCAATAAGTTTATAAAACCATCAATATCCTCAACTCCAATTTGTGAGGTTGGGTAAAATCTCTACTGGTAGCCTTTAGGGTCTTAAGGATCTACACTGTGGTGGAAGCTCTCATGGCAGAATTTTGATTTTTTATCTTAGAAATCTCTCTAGAGGCTTAACCTAGGTGTGAGAAAGGCTTTCACTATTTATAGGTCTAGAAGAAGGGTTGTCTTAGTAAATACAAAAACTCATATTCATGAATGACTACCCAATCGGTGGGAGGGCGGTCATAGAGTAGTTATCGCTGGAGTGAAAACAACATTTCAAGCATAACTAATTCAAGCACCACTTGAGCAACCATGTCCACGGGTCAAACGACCATAGAGACCGCTCAAGCGAGTTCATAGAGTGAGTCATCTGCTGCCTTCTGTGGCCTTTTTCTATTTCTTCTTCTAAGTCATAAAGAGACTTTTCTAGTGAAAACTAGTAAGTATTAATCGGTCCCTACATGTTTTTAAGCAAAAAAAGTTCAAAAACTTGTCTTCAAAGAGGGATCCGATTGTCACTCAAACTATATTTTCAAAACTCATAAATGATTTAAAAAACAATTTCTTTTAAAATCACCTAGGAGTCATAATCGAATTGCTTTCAATTTCATTTTCATCCTAATCAACCTAAGTTAAAATAACTAAAGATTCATCTTAGGTGTCTAGGTCGTTACCTTGTCCTAAGTATAAAGGTTCATATGGATTTAAAATAATGTTGTTGTGACGCTTGATCCGCTTTCTTCAATAACGTTTTCGTATCTTAAACTTGATAGCATCATGATCATGAATAGGTTGAGATTTTATAATGGGTTCCATGAAATTAGTCAATTACAAATATAATCTAACAGATTTAATTATGGAAAAAATTTTAAATTATTGTTGAAAGATTGATCATGAAGTTTGAGTTTTATGTGTATTGACTTTCGGGTCCAATTTAGTTTTGGATGTGTTAAATCTTAAGAAGGGTGGTTAGACACGTTTCTAAATGTTCTTAGGTCAAAATAAGGTTATCATTGACTTTGAAAGGTCAAGAAACCTTAGGAGATGTAATATGAGTGACTAGAAGTTGAATATATTGTAAAGTTAAAATGTATTTTTGGAGAGAATTCAGGTAGAAAAAAATTTGACACCACCTTAGGCTTTTGGCCACAACTTTCTACCCCTATATCTGATTGATTTGGTTTTTGGAAATTAAAAAGTAGACTTCAAGGACTACAAAAGTTAATTTCATGAATATTTTTTAAATCGGCCTCTAATGAGGCCAAAACTACCTTGGAAGTTTAGGTAGAAAATGGAGCACGTTTGAACACGAATGGATCCCTTTCGAACACTGATGAATTTTTTAAAAAAATGGGAGAAAAGATCCTTCGAATGAAAAAGACTCCGTTCGAACTCCCTAGGCACTTTTCAAACATGAATGGATCCGTTCGAATGCACATACGTGATTCTACATGATTAAGCCGCATCGCCTGAATTGTTTTTCACCCTATATAAACACTCAGGACGTGTTTTAGGTCAGTTTAAGCTATTTTTCAACCCTATGTGGCTAAGGAGAGTTGGAAAAAAAGAAAACAAGCAAGATCTTGATAAATTGAAACGTAGGAATCGCATCAAAACATGTTAGGATCATCTATTTGTGAGTCAAAGTAGGGGTTCTTTCTCGAATTTATTTATTGATGATTAGGGCTATACAATTATATGTTTTTCATCCTCATTAATGTATAAATAATAGATCCACAATGTTTTTACATTCTTGGAACACATGATTCATTTCTTAAATAAAATATATGATTTGCTTCCAAGATCTATTCGTTCTTGATTTAAAAACCTAGTTCTTGACTCTTATTCTATATATGTGATAGATCGACAAAGTTTTTACACTATTTTTTAATATATTCTTAAATTCTTAAATAAACACATGATTTACATCCAAATACATGTATTACATCTAAAAATTATATGTTCTTGATTAAAACCCTAGATCTTGAATATTGTAAATATGAACGCTTCTTTTTACTATCTCTTGCATGTTTTGCTTAAGTCATTCTTTTACTTGGAAATTGTGAAACTATGGATTGTGGTACACGTGAAATTTGTGAAAATGTATTATTATTATCTCTTGTATGAGTAGGTGTGATAAGCATGAATTACACTCAAATTAATATCATAGAGTATTAGAGGTTTTCTTACCTTGAGGGGTTTGATAGTTGCCTAGCACTCGTAGGGGGCTCAGTTTCTTGTGAAGACCAACCACAATTTGTTCATATAGATTCGAGGCAGAGGGCTAGTATATTATTCCTAGAAAGGATTCATCAATACTAAATGACTTAGTAGATGCCCTTCCTTAAAAGTTTGTAGGACTGCAGGAATTGATTGTATGGTTTGTGTTTGTGTTTGTGGTGGGTTGACTAGATAGGTTCGATGTATCGATTCATGCTAGTCTACATACGTACATGAGATATAATGTTTTGAGACTTGATTTTACGAATGATTATATTCTGCTACGAACTTTACGTTTTTATACCTTAAACTCGATATCGTTATTAACTATCATTGTTTTATTTCAAATTATTGTATGACATTTTATAAACTAAGACTTACCTATTTTCATGATTTCTAAACCTTGTTTGGATTTGATAATATTTTTTTA